TAAATAAACAAATTAAAAGACACAAAAGGAAAAGATTAGGAAGACTTATTTAATTTCCACATCCTATAGGAAAGGAGAGAGGGAAGGGGATTCCCAGTGGTCAATATTCTAGTCAATACTTTTGGAAACAGTTACAGGTAAGACAGGACTATAGAAGGTTACATATCTACAGATATGATTTGGGAAGTCGCTGCAGATTTCTCTACAAACTTTACAACATATTCCGGAGAGTTGGCTGTTTTAGCTAATTAGCTTTACACATCTTAATTTTCTTGTTATATGAAGCCCCTTAGTCTATAGCAGTGCAATAGATTTAGTGGAGGAATGCAGGATTCCTGGGCCAGACCTGCTTGCTTTGGCTCACCTGGAAAGGGGAGGGTCCTGTGAGAGGCCATCGGTTTGCACTTGCATGTGGCCAGCAGCTGGCTTGTCCCAGAACTGAGTGAAAATTCCTAGTCCCCATGTGTGCATTTCTGGCGTGAAGCTGCAAGTGAGAGCAAAGACCAACACCCTGTGGCTCTGTGCCCCCCTTTCCAGCAGGGATGGGCCCAGGGCACATCCACCTGGGAACCTCAAGTCAGTGCTTTCTCTTTGTCTATTTGGCTATGGCTGTGCTGAGCTATTGGCCGTTTGAATAATTCAAATTCTGCCCAAAGAACTTCGTGTATTTGTTCGTTTGGATTTGTAGCTTTTAAAAAACCTTGGGGCTGGGGATGTGGCTCAAGCCGTAGCACGCTTGCCTGGCATGCACAGGGCGCTGGGTTCGATCCTCAGCACTACATGATAATAAAAATAAAGATGTTGTGTCCACTGAAAACTAAAAAAAAAAAAAAAAAAAAAAAAAAAAATTCTCTCTCTTTAAAAAAACAAAACAACAACAAAAAACCTTAGTGGTTTCCTGGGCCTTCTCCTTCATTTTACCTTTTGCTCTTTGTAATTTCTTTTTACTCTCTGTGAACATTTATATAAACAACTTTCAAAATACAGAGTGACCTTGTTTCACACTGGAGGCCTGAGCACATGTCCACATTGAGCCTCCTCTTGACCACTTACTGTGGGTGATCTCCCTGAAGCCTGTGACTGTGCAGTTGTTTTATCCTTTGTAGAGCCTCAAGGTGCACAGAGGCTACTGCTTATCACAGCTAGAGAGAAGACAGACGGTCCTGTGTGTCTGAGGAAGGGAATTCTGTGAACTGCATACTGAGTTGCTCTTTAGCTTAGGCAGAGAGAATCTGTTCCTGTCAGGTTAACAGAAGGGTGAAGGAGAAATAATCAACTTCTTTTCTTTTTTCATAAGTACAATTTTGTACATTGTTTTATCAAAATTTGAGTATACTTCATCTTCATCTTTATGATCCCGAATAGAATGAAGTCAAAATTCATGTGAATGGGCCAATGAAGAGTTCAGTTATGAGTATACCCGAATCACTACATAGTGCCTCTCTTCAGCTTTCCCTGGGCAAGTACTGCTGACCTGCCCATACTAGGCTCTTATTCTGTAGGTACTGTTGAGTGACTCATTTACAACTGTATCATAACTTTATTTAACAACTTAGTAAGATCAAAATTGATAGTTCTCACCATGGTACATGGAGAACAAAACTAAACCATACACAGTGGATAAAGAAAAAGTATTCCACTCGACACTGCTCTGAGTGATATTAAGATTACCAAGTGTAGAAGAAATACTTTCCAAACAACTGTCCCTATAGATGTAAAGGGGAAGTTCTGCCTGTGTTCTTTGCTAATAACCCAACAGTGGAAGAAAACAGCATCTTCAACTCCAGCCACAGAAAGAGAGAGACAGGAGACGAGGCAGGGAAAAGCTGGCTGACTGCGCCCTGACCAAACCTGTCCCATGGATGTGCTTCATCTGGCTCTAGGCTGTCCTGGACAGGTGCCTGGGAGAGCTCCCAGGATGCCCACACACAGCCTGAGAGGTTCTGAGGATCCCAGGATAACAGGATGATGTGGGTCAGAAAAAATTGCTTCATTCCATTAAGCAGGCTTTTCTTTTCTGGTTGGTTTGCTCATTTTCTCCCTTTTATTCTTTCCAATTACTGGCCTCAGACAAACTTGCCAGAACCTGCGGCTGTCCCAGAGACAGTGGCTGACACACCCCCTGCTCTTGGACCTTTTGGAGGTATAGCTCAAAACAACTGTAAAAAACTCTTTTAAAAAAAATCATCCTGCTTAGGCTGGGGTTGTGGCTGCATGGTAGAGTGCTTGTGTGAGGCACTGGGTTCAATCCTCAGCACCACATAAAAATATAAATAAATAAAGTTATTTTAAAAAGTCATTAATTGTTTTTAAAAAAATTGCCTGGCTCAGGCCCCACCCTTAAGGATTCTTAACTAAATCTGTGGTGGGCCCTGGGTAGGCATCTTAAACTCTTGAAAGAAATCTGATATGACTGTGCTGTTGAGAGGCAGCCCCAGGCATGGTGGGAGCAGCAGCAGTGTGGCAGGACAGAGCTCCAGCTCTGGGACATCCAGATCCATCTGCCCTGTTCCATGGTGTGGGTTAAGCCAGCAGTAGGTTCAGGTCACAATGCAGACAGCTGCGCCTCTTTCCTTATCCACTTGCCCTCTACATACATGTCCTCCCGCTCCTGCTCTCCCCACTGTCCACTCTTGCCTCCCTTCTAGGTCACCAATGAATGGAGCCAGCAGTGGACTGTAGCTTGTCCCATCCTTCTCTGCTGAGCTTGCCTCTCCTCACATTGAGGACTGAATAGTTGAGCAAGTAATCTGTGGGTCTCTTGAGTACGGTTCACATTTCTCCAAAGCAACAGGGTCAGCAGGGCCCTCATGGTAATAACCACTGTCTTTGCTCCTCTCCTGAGTGCTGCTCTAACCAGGTGGGACATCATTCATTTAGAAAAGCATTCTTCTCAACTCTGCAAGTAGTCAAGTATTAGGAACAGGCTTGCCTCATAGCTTACAACAAGGGGATGAGATTTCATAATGCCCCCTGTGCACATGATGACATCCAGACTATGATCCCTGGGACATAGGCTCCACACTAGTGCCAGAGTCAGAGGTCTTTCTGTAATGGAGCTGCTTTATAAGCTTGGTATGAATCCTGTGTACATAACTAAGACATACATTTTTCATACAATGATTTACTCTTGAAATAGTACCACTGATAGAAAATAGTGTCTGTAATAGCTCGACATTTGGCATCTACAATTTGTCACATATTTACTCTTTTATACAAATGTTAGCAAAACTTGAGCACATACATAACCATGAGAGTATGATATCCAAATAGCTAATAAGCATGTGATAAAGGCTCAACATCACCATGAAGGGAAACGTACGTTAAAATTACAGTGAATGTGTAGACAGCCTCAAATAATAGGGCGTCATTTCTGAGGCTGGGTTACCAACAGGCTCTGGCTGTAGTCTTGCCCATCTCTTGCTTACTCACTTGCTCACACTGACAGAAGCCAGTGACAGGATGTGAGCGGCCCTGTGGAGAAGCCATGTGGCAAAGAATTGAGGGTGACCTCAGCCCATAGTGAGGGAGGAACTGAGGCTGTTGGTCCAAAAGCACAAAAGGGACTGAATCCAACTAACAACCCCTTGAGTGAGTCTGGAAGCAGGTCCTCCCCCAGTTATCCCTGAGATGACAATAGCTAGAAGCCAAATCTGGATCACAGCTTTGTATGAAATATGTGCTATAGATAGCTGATACAGAATCACTGGAATGAGTGTAGTAAAAATGACATCAATACCAAGTGTTATTTGGTATTAATATTTGGTAATAATATGGAGTAACTAGAATCCTTCTCCCATATGAAATCCACAGCATTGCCAGCAGGTCCAGACCATCACATGATATACCTCTGATCCTTTCTGGTTATTGAATTTCTCCCAGGTGATTATATTGGGCCACACAAATAATAGAAGGTTACCTCCCATCTCAGTCTTTAATCTTAATTACATGTATAAATCCATTTGCCAGATTAGTTGATTTGTTCATAGTTTCTGGGGATTGGGACATGGACATCTAGAGGATGACACTTTCTGCCCACTACTCTAATATTTTCTCCTATGGATTTTCATGTCATTTTATTAATGATGTCCTTTGTAGTATAAAAGTCTTTCATTTTAATTTGTTCAATTTATTAATTACTTTTCCTTTATGGATTATGCTTTTGATGTTATATAAGATATCACTTAGCCTAAGAACATAAAAATGTTCCTATTTTCTTCTAGAAATTCTTACAGTACCCACCCCCTGACCTTTTTATTAATACCAGGATTGAACCCAGGGTAACCACTGAGCCACATCTCTACCCTTTTTTATCTTTTACTTAGAGAGGGTCTCGCTAAATTGCTCAGAGCATTGCTAAGCTGCTGAGGCAAGCTTTGAACTCACAATCCTCCTGCCTCAGCCCCCAAAGCTCAGTTTTTATTCTTCAATGGATTTATGATTCATTGATAGATTGTGCTAGGTAAGGATCTATGCATTATTTAATTAAATTAATTAATCAATTTTGAATTGGGTATTCAGTTCTCCCAGCACTATTTGATTAATTTTTTTCTATGTGTTGAAAATCAAATAGCCAATCTTGAAAGATTTATAATGAACTTTCAGTTCTCTTCCAACCATATTACAATGTCTTCTATCATGGGTAATTGAAAGGTTTCATATTTTTAAGAATAGTGTTCAGATTATTTCAGATCTCAAATAGTAATTCTGAACTTTTTTCTATAACTAAAAATAATAGGGGTTAAAAGAATATAACTTTTATGCATTCATTTGGTAACTTAAAATCCTTTGATTCTCTTAGATTCTCTTATAGGACTAAGTTACAAAAATGTCAGAAATATGGTATTGGTGTTCCATTAAATATCTTGATGAACAGTATGTACTTCTGTACTTTGAATCTGAACCAGGTGTTGTTGTTGCTGCTGCTGCTGTTATTATATAATCAATTTCCTTTGTTTAAGTAACATTCTCAAATCTCTGATCATGCTTATTCTTTTCAGATCAACCTTTAGAATCCCGCAGAATCTTGAACAAGCCAGTGCCAAGCTTGCCCAACATGGACACCATTTTCAGGGAAGCCTTTGCAAAGATGCAGAAGCAGTACCCTGGGTGCCTGGCTCCGGAGACTTGTGTCCGTGCAGTCCAGGCCTCTGTGAAGTATCCCTATGAAGTGGGCATCAAGGAGGAAGCGGAGCTGTTTATGTACCTTCAGGGATCAGGGCAGGCTAGAGCCCTGCAATATGCTTTCTTTGCTGAAAAGAATGCAAGTAAATGGTCCACTCCCTCTGGGGCCTCATGGAAAACAGCATCAGCACGACCCATCTCCTCCGTTGGTGTCCTTGGTAAGCACGTGGGGGCGGTTCATGGGCTTCTCCAAATGTGTGCATGTCAAGAGCTAACATTTACTTCAGGACACCAGGTCCCAGGTTCTATGCTGAAATCACTACTCCTGTTAGCTCCAGTAATTCTCTCCCAAGTCCTCAAACTGCCTTCGTCTTATGTGTGAGGCCTAGAGATGCTAACCTTTTCCAGAGTGAGCTAAACTCTAGTGGTGTGAGGGCCTGACCTTGGCTTTCTGTCTCCAGACTGTGGGCACTATTTACTCCTCTCTAACCCTTCTCTGTATGAATCTCTCACTCCAGGATTTCCAAACTGTGATTGATATTTGTAGCACATTTCAAGCATGGCATTTCACTCTTGCAGATAAGTATTTGGGATCAATTTTCTTGTCTTTGTGGTCCCTGGATGCATTCACACCTCCTACCTCAAAACCACCATCAATTTGTGATGTAGTCTTCCACTGCTCTCTTGTGCCCACTAGAAAGCTCTGACATCTGTCTGGGTTGGATGTAGTTTGGAAAGTTTGCCAGGGGTAAGGTCTTACTGGACCCACATTGCCTCCGGGCACTTCTGCCCAAAAGTGGGATAATACAAGATACTACCTGATTCCTGATATGCTCTGTGAATCAGAACGATATGGGCAACAAGGCAGGGTAGGGCTGGTATCAATATGGCACATTGCCATAGAAACTGTGGTCCAATAAGCTAGTTTCGAATTCCCCATCCATTGAATCATTCATTTTCTCCTTCACTGTCTCTGCAGGCTTGGGAACCATGGGCCGAAGCATTGTCATTACTTTTCTAAGGGCGAAAATTCCTGTGGTTGCTGTAGAAGTAGATCAAAAGCAGCTCAAAACTGCAAAGAAGATAATAACTTCCAGCTTGGAAAAGGCAGCATCCGAAATGCCACAGAATGACCAGCCTTGGTCAGGACCAAAACTCAGGTTCAGTTCATCTATGAAGGAGCTTGCTAGCGTAGACTTAGTTGTCGAAGCAGTATTTGAGGATATGAAGCTGAAGAAACGAGTCTTTGCTGAACTGTCAGCTGTGTGCAAGCCAGAAGCATTTTTGTGCACCAATACTTCAGCCCTGGACGTGGATGAATTTGCTTCTTCCACGGATCGGCCGCATTTGGTTATTGGCATGCACTTCTTCACACCAGCTCATGTAAAGAAGTTGTTAGAGATTATTCCTAGCCGACATTCTTCCCCCACCACCATTGCCACTGTTATGAACTTAGCCAAAAAGATTAAGAAGATTGGCGTAGTCGTAGGCAACTGCCATGGCTTTGTTGGTAATCGAATGCTAGTCCCTTATTTTGACCAGACATATTTCTTGTTAGAAGAAGGTAGCAAGCCAGAGGAGATAGATCAGGTGCTGGAGGAGTTTGGTTTTAAAATGGGACCCTTTCGAGGGTCTGACCTTGCTGGGTTGGATGTGGGTTGGAAAGTTCGCCAGGATCAAGGTCTTACTGGACCCACATTGCCTCCTGGTACTCCTGTCCGAAAGCGGGGTACTAGAAGATACTGCCCGATTCCTGATATGCTCTGTGAATCAGGACGCTATGGGCAGAAGACAGGGCGGGGGTGGTTTCAGTATGACAAGCCATTGGGAAGGATTCACAAACCTGATCCCTGGCTTTCCAAATTTCTGTCACAGTACAGAGAAACCCATCATATTGAACCCCGTGTCATTAGCAAGGATGAGATCCTTGAGCGCTGCTTGTATGCACTCATCAATGAAGGGTTCCGTATTTTGGGAGAAGGGATGGCTGCTGGCCCAGAGCACATTGATGCCATCTACTTGAATGGGTGTAGCTGGCCAAGGCACAAGGGTGGGCCCATGTTCTATGCTTCCACAATTGGGTTGCCCACAGTTCTGGAGACGTTGCAGAAGTACTACAGGCAGAATCCTGATATTCCCCACCTGGAGCCCAGTGACTACCTAAAAAAGCTGGCTTCCCAGGGAAACCCTCCTCTGAAAGAATGGCAAAGCTTAGCAGGGCCCCCCAGCAGTAAATTGTGACTCAGTCTTCCATGCTGTGCCTCCCATGCTGGCATCGGGTAAAACTCACTGGATTTCAATAAAGTTAATTCCAAGAATACAGAGTAAGAGTACTCTGAAATGCAAAGCAAAGGAAGAAATTGGTTACTTAAACCTTCCTTTTGGTGTTTTTTCTTCTTGATTCTAATGAAGGAAATCTTTATGAAAGTGCTTTCTATGCCTCTGAATGTGTTCCTTTCAGATAAATTTAGTGAATGAAGTTGTGTAAATATAATTCTACAATAGCTGATGAGAGAGCCTTAGGAATACGTTGAGGTTCCCAAGTGCTTTGATTGTTGGAGCAATGTTCAACATTTAATAAAATATAAATGCAGCTAAGTTCGTAAACTTCTTTTGTCTTGGGCTGGGGATATAGCTCAGTTGGTAGAGTGCTTGCCTCACATGCACAAGGCCCTGGGTTCAATCCCCAGCATCACACATACACAAAAAAATTTCTTTTGTCTTTTTAACCTCACATACGTATTCTTGATTGCAAATCCTATAGGTCATACATGCCCACACAGTCACTGAGCACCCCCTGAGTTTCTTGCACCACTTGAAAGCACATGGCAGACCTAGAGCCCAGAGGGTATTAAACTAGTATAGAAGCCTGCGTTGCTGTTGGGTCCATACTTTCAGAGATGGAGATCATTGGCAGGGTAGAGTCTGCAGTGAGGGTCTCTATGGGCGGGGGGCATGGAACACTGCCTAAGGACAAGCAGATTAGTAGCAAGAAAGAAGGCCCATCAGAGTTGGAAATTGGTGAGGGCTCCAAGTATTTGAGACCCAAACAGGGCACTCCAGGGCAGCTTGGCAAGTCATGCTCATGAGATCAGTTCTGTCCAAGGCTCAGTCTCCTGTGCTTGCTGCTTGCAAGCGGCTCAGTGATATTTGTTGTTTATTCCCTAGGACACAGAACATCTGCAACATGGTCTTTATGGTCTTTTCTATTCAAGGAGAAGTAATAGAAAGACTAAGTTGTTCCCTTAGTTTAAGAAGGGATCTTAGTGAACATCTAACGTTTGAGGATTTCTTAATTTAAAAAAAAATTTTGTAGTTGTAGATGGACAGAATGCCTTTATTTGTATATTTTTTAATGTGGTACTAAGGATCAAACCCAGTGCCTCACACATGCTAGGCAAGCACTGTGCCACTGAGCTCCAGCTCTAGCTCCAAGGATTTCTTAGTTCTTAAGCAGTGTAACAATGCCAGTTTCCCTGTCAAGACAAGGACCTATGAATATGCATTTGGAAATGGTTGAAAAATCTAAAATTATGGCAAAGTAGATCATGTATAGTTTTGTTATTGCTATTAATATCCTTCTCTTTTTGACTTTCTGACTTGTGTTGTTCAAAGTTAAGCACTGTGCAACAGAAAAACTTGTCAGAATTACACAGACAAAAACTCGAAACAGCCCAAATGTCCACTAACCAAATGTCAGCTAACAAATGTGGTCTGTTCATACAGTCAGCTATTACTCACAAAAAGAAATGAAGTCCTGGGCTGAGGTTGTGGCTCAGAGGTAGAACATTCGCCTAGCATGTGTGAGGCACTGGGTTCGATCCTCAGAACAACATTAAAATAAAATAAAGATATTGTGTCCACTTACAACTAAAAAATAAATGTTTTTTAAAAAAGAAAGAAATGAAGTCCAGATATCTGCTACAGCATGAGGAACCTTGAATATACCAGGCTGAGTGAAAGAAGGCAGTCACAAAAGACCATATGTTATATAGACATTAAAGGGAATGTCCAGGGTAAACAAATAGAGACAGAAATAGAGGTTTCCCAAGACTGGAATTTTTGTTTAGTAGATACTGGGGATTGACTGCTAATGGGTACATAATTTCCTTTGGGTTTTATGAAAATGTTCTAAAGTGATTGAATTGTGATGGCAGTGGTATAAATCTGAGTAAACTAAAAAATTGTTGAGTTGTGTAATTTATAGGGATGAATTATTGGATATGTGAATTATATCTCAATAAAGTTATTAATAAATGGTGGGAAATGTGTCCTTCAGTGTGGTATAAATGAAATGTTTTACCACAGTTTCACCTGTGACCCTGAATAAAATCATCAAAAATCCTAATGGAGCCACATGTGGTGGAGTGAGCCTATATCACCCTCTATCCAGGAGGCTGAGGTGGAGAATCACTTGATCCCAGGAGAAGCCTAGACAATTTAGCAAGACTCTTGGCTCAAACAAAAAAGTCCTGATAGAGAAATCTTGAATGAACTGAGAACAAGTTTTCCATTAAAAAAAAAAAAAAATCCAGGGCTTGGGTTGTGGCTCAGTGACAGAGCACTTGCCTTGCACATGTGAGGCACTGGGTTCGATCCTCAGCACCACATAAAAATAAACAAGATAAAGATATTGTGTCCATGTAAAACTAAAAAATATTTTTTAAAAAATCCAAGAGCTTTTCTTTAATTGTGGTTTAATTGAGACTAATTTTTGAGTCATATACTACTAGATTTTATATAGTTCACTTTTTGAAATTAAAGATATCATGGGAAAAGTTCTTGAAAATAGTAACTATCTCCAAGGTGATTTGTTTTCAAATTAATGTAGAAAAAGAATCACATTAATATATTTTTTTGGAAGAAAAATCACCTTATTCTAATTAACTCACTAAGAATAACATCAAAACAGCTGGTTAAGGAGGCCACACAATCGCCCAGCCCCAAATTCAGTATCAACTCAGTGAACTCAGTTAAAACATCCTTCTATTGCCATTGGGAAACATGAAGCTACTAAGAGAGATTTAACTTATGGTTTTACATTTTATACTTTCGCTATCAATTACATTTTTATGCTAAAGTAACTTGGTTATCAAAGCCGATTTTCTACTTCTTCAATTTGAACTCCGCCCCCCGCCCCCACCGCCATACCAGGGATTGAACACAGGGAAGCTTAACCACTTAGTCACTTCCATCTCAGCCTTTTTTATTTTTTATTTTGAAATGAGGTCTCATTAAGTTGCTGAGGCTGGCCTTGAACTTGGAGCTCCTTGCCTCAGCCTTCCAAATAACTGGGATTACAGGCATGTGCCATCACGCCTGGCAATTTGAACTTCTTGATTAGACGAACCATTTGAAATTCTGCACTGTTTTAGCACCTCACTGAAACCCTCACAGAGCTTAACATCACCCTGGTTCTGGGCAAACATCAAAAAAACGTTTTACCTCATAAAAGCGAGGGCCACCAAGCAACTGCTACTGCGTGGGCTGGGTTCCCTGAGACTCCTGGTAATTTCAGGCTTTGAGGGCCTAGCATGACTTCCACCACTGAAGCCCCAGTGATGGCATGCCCAGTGTGTGCTCAAGAGCAGAGCCCACTGCCACACCAGCTGCAGTGATTGCCCTCAGGCCATCAGACCTGGCCGCCGGGATACAGCATCTGGTGAGCCAACTGCAAGTCGTCGGGGCGGTTGCTGGTGGCTGAGCTACTGGTGCTGGCCAGGGAGCAACTCTCAGCTCAGGGTCCTGGCTGGCTCAAGGGCCACAAGAAATATGACTTCGGCTCCCACACTGCTTCCACGCTGCTTCTGAAGTGTGCTGTGACTGAGCATCTGGAAGTGTGAAACTACAAAAAGCCCGTGACTTCTACCAAGAAGGAGAACAGAAGACAGGCACGTTAACTTTTCTCCTACAACCCTGAATGAATTTTGTTTTGAGTTCTTAAAACTTCCTCCCTGCCCTAGCTTCTAGTTTGAAGTTTTGAAACTAGAGGGACTATGAGTAGATTTTATGATTAAGTTTGTATATGTGCAGTACTTGGAAGAGGTCCCATATTTTATTTCATATCTCAAAAGAGCCTAGGACCCACTAAAACTTAAGGATCAATACTTTATATCAACAATGGGGAAAACAAGGATGGGCTCATGTATTCTTATTTTATAATCAAAGGAAGCAAAACTGATTCTAATTTGTCTGGTGTTACCTATAATTGTATTAATAAGATGAAGCTTTTAAGGATATTCTGTCCTGTCGTTGAAAGTGCACTTGCTTAAAAAGCTGATTTTGCTGTTGTTAATTTTTAAGCTACCCATCTTTATGGGGAAAAAAACCTTCCAAATCCCAGTTTTTATATGTGTTTTAATGGTAATTGATTCTGCAGAGGACTTTATATTGGTAACATCCTTGTACTTTTTTTGTATGACTCTAGCTTTAAAGATGAGACTAATGATACATCTCAAATCAATAAAGCTAATTGGCTGCTATAGTTGCTAGTAGTCATTCATTTCCAGTGGGAACAGGTGTCCATGAAAGGATAAAGTGGAATCTACACTTTTTAGGATATAAACATGAAATTTGTAGGTCTTACACTTGCCTTTAAAATAGGCAGTTAGAAATCAGAAATGTTGCAGTCTCACTAGATAATCTGAACCCTTTTGGAGGCCATCGATGAGATTAATAGAAGTCAAGCTCTCCGGACTATGCCTAGAATTTTCTGCAAGAAGAAAACACATTGGGCTGGGATGGTAGATCAGTGGTAGAGTGCTTGCCTAGCATGTGTGAGGCATTGGGTTCGATTCTCAGCACCGCATATAAATATATATAATAAAGGTCCATTGATAACTAATAAGTGTTTTTAAAAAAATGATTCTTTTTTTCTCCAATTTGTTTTAATTTTATTTTTTTAATTAGTTACACATGACAGTACAATGACCTTGACATATCATACATTGAATCAGATGGGATATAATTTCTCATTTTTCTGAGTGTACAGATTGCAGAATCATATTGGTCATGCAGTCACATATATACACACAGAATAATAATTTCATTCTACTATCCTTCCTATCCCCCCAGCCCCTCCCCTCCCCTCCCCTCCCATCACTTCTCTCTACCTAATCTAACGCTATTCTTTTTTTTCTTTTTTTCCTCACATCTTCATATATGTGTTTTGTATAACGTTGAGGGTATCCTTCCACCATCCATGCAATTCCCTTTCTCCCTCCCTTTCTTTCCCACCCCTCTTCCCTATGTAGAGGTAATCTTCTTCCCCTGCTCTTCCTCCCTACCCCATTTTGAGTCACCCCACTTATATCAGAGAAGACATTCTGCATTTGTTTTTTTGGGATTGGCTAACTTCACTTAGTATAATCTGCTCTAATGCCATCCATTTCCCTGCAAATGCCATGATCTTATTATTTTTTAGTGCTGAGTTATATTGCATTGTGTATATATGCCACATTTTTTTTTAACCATTCATCCATTGAAGGGCATTTGGTTGGCTCCACATTCTAGCTATTGTGAATTGTGCTGCTATAAACATTGATGTGGCTGTGTCCCTGTAGTACGCTGTTTTTAAGTCCTTTGGTTATAGTCAGAGAAGAGGAATAGCTGGGTCAAATGATGGTTCCATTCCCAGCTTTCCAAGGAATCTCCATACTGCTTTCCAAATTGGCTGCATCAATTTGTAGTCCCACCAGCAGTGTATGAGTGTACCTTTTCCCCTACATCCTCGCTAGCACTTGTTGTTGTTTGTCTTCATCATGGCTGCCATTCTTACTGGAGTTAGATGGTATCATAGAGTAGTTTTAATTTGCATTTCTCTGATTGCTAGAGATGATGAGAATTTTTTCATATGTTTGTTGATTGATTGTATATCCTCTTCAGAGAAGTATCTGTTCAAGTCCTTGGCCCATTTGTTGATTGGGTTATTTGTTTTTTTTGGTGTTTAGCTTTTTGAGTTCTTTGTATACCCTAGAGATTAGGGCTCTATCTGATGTGTGAGGTGTAAAAATTTGTTCCCAGGATGTAGGCTCCCTATTCACCTCACATATTATTTCTCTTGCTGAGAAAAAACTTTTTAGTTTGAATCCATCCCATTTGTTAATTCTTGGTTTTAATTCTTGTGCTATAGGCATCTTATTAAGGAATTTGGGGCCTAGTCCCACATGATGGAGATTAGGGCCTACTTTTTCTTCTTCTTTTTTTTTTCCTTTAATTTTTATTGTTGGTTGTTCAAAACATTACATAGTTCTTGACATATCATATTTCACACTTTGATTCAAGTGGGTTATGAACTCCCATTTTTACCCCGTATACAGATTGCAGAATCACATCAGTTACACATCCACTGTTTTATATATTGCTATACTAGTGTCTGTTGTATTCTGCTGCCTTTCCTATCCTCTACTATCCCCCCTCCCCTCCCCTCCCCTCCCGTCTTCTCTCTCTACCCCCTCTACTGTAATTCATTTCTCCCCCTTGTATTATTTTCCCCTTTCCCCTCACTTCCTCTTGTATGTACTTTTGTATAACTCTGAGGGTCTCCTTCCATTTCCATGCAATTTACCTTCTCTCTCCCTTTCCCTCCTACCTCTCATCCCTGTTTAATGTTAATCTTCTTCTCATGCTCTTCGTCCCTACTCTGTTCTTAGTTACTCTCCTTATATCAAAGAAGACATTTGGCATTTGTTTTTCAGGGATTGGCTAGCTTCACTTAGCATAATCTGCTCTAATGCCATCCATTTCCCTGTAAATTCTATGATTTTGTCATTTTTTAATGCAGAGTAATACTCCATTGTGTATAAATGCCATATTTTTTTTTATCCATTCGTCTATTGAAGGGCATCTAGGTTGGTTCCACAGTCTTGCTATTGTGAATTGTGCTGCTATGAACATCGATGTAGCAGTGTCCCTGTAGCATGCTCTTTTCAGGTCTTTAGGGAATAGACCGAGAAGGGGAATAGCTGGGTCAAATGGTGGTTCCATTCCCAGCTTTCCAAGAAATCTCCATACTGCTTTCCAAATTGACTACACCAATTTGCAGTCCCACCAGCAATGTACAAGTGTACCCTTTTCCCCATATCCTCGCCAGCACTTGTTGTTGTTTGACTTCATAATGGCTGCCAATCTTACTGGAGTGAGATGGTATCTTAGGGTGGTTTTGATTTGCATTTCTCTGACTGCTAGAGATGGTGAGCATTTTTTCATGTACTTATTGATTGATTGTATGTCCTCCTCTGAGAAGTGTCTGTTCAGGTCCTTGGCCCA